GGTTCGCCGCTTTGTTTCTCTAAGCACGACCCGCAGCAGGCCGCGCCGAGGCCGCCCGCCACCGAGGAGCACCGCACGGCTGCTTCAGGCCAAGAACGCGCAGCGCGGCCCGCGGGACCCGTTCCTCCACCAAGGTCACGGCAACCGCACGGCCCCTCTCGCCGCTCCCCTCCCCCGCGCGGCGCCCGCAGCACCCGGCGCCACGCTCGCGGCGCTCTCGCGCAGGAGGCAGCGCAGCGCCAGGCCGCGGCCCTTACCTCTCTTTCTGGTCTTGAAGCGCTGCCCCGATAGCGTCGGCTTCTGCTGCTTTTGATTCATAAAAGACGCCCTGCGCGGGAGCACAGCACATCACGCACCTCTCGGCGCCGCCCGGGCTCCCCCCGCCGCCGCCACCGCCGCCGCCGCCGCTCCCGACGCGCCCCGCGCGGCGCCGCTCCGCTCCTCCTCCCGCCGCCTCCATTTTCCGCACCGCGCTCCCCCCGCCTCCCGCCGCACAGCGGCCCCGTCCCGCCGCGCGACCCGGCGGCCCCACGGCGCTTCGCCGCTGCCGCGCGGGGGCACGGAGCGATTTCCCCCCCCCCTTCCACCGCCGCGATCGGCGCGGCCACTGCCACCCCGGCCCGGCGCCCCGCCGCCGCTCACCGACTTTAAGGTAGAGAGAAATCGCCCGAGGGCCCGGAGCGGAGACGAACGCGAGCGGCGGAGAGGAGCGGCGGCGGCAGAACCCTGCGGGCGGAACCAACGCGAGAGAAGGGGGAGGGCGCGCCCCGCCCGGGACGGACCATCGCGTTGCGCCGCAGGGGGCGCCGGGCCGGGGAGGAGGCCGAGCTCCCCGGGACTCCCCGCCCGCGGCCGCCCAGGCGCTGCGGACCCCCGGCACCTGGCCGTGCCCCGCGCCCGCCCGCGGAGCCGTCCGCTCGAGGACCCCCGGGGGGCGAACGCGCCCGCGCGGCCCTTTACGGCGTCACACGCGGCAGCCCCTGCCGCCTCCCCCCGCGCGGCGCTGCGCGTGGAACGGTCCGCGGGCGGCAGCGCCCCTGGCGGCGCGCTGTGAGCGCGGGCATCGCCGCCCCGACTGCGCTGCAGCGGCCCCTGCAGCAGAGCCGCGAAACGCAGCCGGGCGGCAGCGAGCAGCGAGAGCCCCGGCCGGCCGGTCGGTAAACACCCCTTTCCCGTCACGCCCGAAACGCGTGCCGCGGCTGGTGGTCAGCGGCGTGGCGGCGGCTGCGTTGCACAAACGTAGCGGCAACAGCGTGCGGCCCGTTCCCGAGCTGCTAGAAAAATGTTATTTGCTTTGGTGCTTTCTGAGTTAAATAAGCAGCAGCAGATGGGGTGGATCGTGAAGCCACAACAGCATGGCAGTTAAGGAAGATGACCCAGACCTGGGGCCGCTGACACCTTCCCTAGGACTGTTCTGCAGAAGCATGGCTTTGGAAAGGGAAAGCATCACTCCATACGTACTACCTTTCTTCCCCACCCACAGAATCACAGAATTGCAGAGGTTAGAAGAGACCTCTAGAGGTCGCGTCCAATCCCGCTGCTAAACAGGTTCCCTATGCAGGTCACACAGGCAGGTGTGTCGACACAGGTCTTGAGTATCTCCAGAGAAGGAGATTCCACAACCTCTCTGGGCAACCTGTTCCAGTGCTCCACCATGCTCACAGTAAAGTCCCTCCTCATGTCAGCATGAAACTTTCTGTGTTCCATTTTCTACCCGTTACCCCTTGTTCTACTGCAGCACACCACCAAAAGGAGTCCACCCACATAAACAATTATGAGATCCCCTCTCATCCTTCTCTTCTCCAGACTGAACAGTCACAAGTCCCTCACAGCGCTCAGCCTTCCCTCATATGGGAGATGCTCCAGGCCCTTATTCATCTCTGTGGCCCTCTGCTAGACTCCTTCTAGGGAGATCCTGTCTTTTTGAAGCTGGGAGCCCAGACTGGACAAAGTATTCCACATGTGGCCTCACCAGAGTAGAGGGCAGAGATCACCTCCCTCTACCTGCTGGCCAGGCTCCCAGCTTTGTATCATCAGCAAACTTGCTCAGTATGGACTCTATCCCTTCATCTAGGTCACCAGTGAAGATGATGAACAAAACCAGACGCAGCACCAACCTCTGGGGATCACCACTGGCTGCAGGCCTCCAACCAGACATGCACTGCTACCCACAACCCTCAGATTATTAAGAGCTGTAAAATTATTAGATCCTAAATTTGTATCAGAGTTGTAACTTCTTTTCCTCCAAACTTAGTTACTGTATCACCTTATAAAGACTCCATGTATTCTGGTACAAACAAAGTTATGGGTTAAAACTACTTACATCTGGTGTAGAATCACGTTCCTGAGTTCCAGGAGCACAGGCCTTCTCTTCCTCCATGTAACACACAGCTTCTTTTACCAGCAGTTGTAGCAACAGCGCTCATCCTGTCTGCAGGCTGTAGAGCATACATCCATTAGAAGACAGCATAAACAGAACCAGTATGGTTGTATGAGTCTAAAAGCCATCTAAACAGCAATGCTTAGATAGACACATCTGCAAGACTAGCTAACAACACACAACATGCTGGTAGAGGACAAAAGAGGCAATTGCTGCTGAGTTCCTTGTTCCCTAAAAGGGCAAACTACTGATTAACCCAGAGCTCACACACACAGCTGCCAAACTTCCATCAGGTGTAAAGCATAATGTTCCTTTGGCTAAAACTCTTGAGCTGTTATCAGGTGTGCAAACAAAGCAAGTCATTATGCTTCATGAAGAGAAAATGGGATCACCTGCACAACTATGGCTTTAATTAAAGTTGCTCCCAACCTTTTTTTTTTTTTTTTTTTTTTTTTTAACTCCAACAAACCATTTCCTTGGCTGTGAATCTTATGGCTTGTTTGGCCCAGTAAAGGACTGTAAATATTCAGAAGAATGTCAGGAGATGCCTGTGTGACAGCACCAAAGGACAGCAAAGTGAGCTGCATCTGTTGCTCTCTATCCGAGGAGCATACCAAATATGTTATTTTTCAGTGGAGGCTGGTCCTCTGAAAGCCTTATTCTGGAATGCATGTTTAAGAAGGCATACATGAATTTGTAAGTGAATAGCTTAAGAATTATATATTTTACAAGAGAGTACACTTAAAGCCTGAAAAAGAATAATTTTAATCTGTGATATTCTTTCACCAAGCACAACTGGTTAACTTGTGCTTGATCCTGCTGCTTTACACAGTTAATTATCTTGAATTCAGAGGGTGCTTTCCCTCCACGGTCTGTGTTTACCTGTACTGCAGGCATTGCACTGTCATCCAACCTGGCATTCACTTATTTACACTCCCATACATGTAAAAATGAGGGTAAAACTTGAAATAAACAAAATCAATATTTTGTTCATTCTACAGGGCAAATGTATTGAAGGTATACAGTACGGACCCCTCTGGTAGCTGGCATTAGACATTTGGTCCATCCATTCCAGATCTACCTCTGTGGTATCACCTGCAGGTATGAGCCCAAGGCCTGAAACCTCACAGCAGTTGCTGGCACCCAGCCCTCCCCACACACACCAACCCATACAGCCACATACTGTGAGTCACACTCAGTCAGCTGGTCAGCACAGCTTGGTATTTGTTAGAGATCACATAGATATACATACCTTCTCTTGCTCCGGTTTTTGGCACCACATGTTCTCCTGCTGGTCAGAGCCCAGTTTCTGGCACTTATACACGCACAGGTATGCAGAACGGAGTCCTTCACCCAGAAAAATGGTCAGACATGGAGTTTAATTAGATAGGACACACTGTGCTGATCAGCCACAGGGTACAACCAGACAAGTGTGCTAAGAATCAGCTTGGATTTCCTATTTATCACTCTTCCTATGCTTATTCCTCCCTAAAAAAACACCACCTGTCCCTTTTCCTGCCTTTGGTTCCTCACCTAATCACAGTAATTACACTAATTACTGTAAGTTTAGTACTAGACCCCAGTTGATTTTCCCTCCATCCCATAAGTTACACTCCACCTTCCCAGTCTGGACAGTGCTTTGGACACCCTCTTCTGCTGAGTGTCCCCATGGCCCATGGAGGTGAAGGCCCCTTTGTGAAGCCCCAGCAAGAGTCAGGGTAAAAGCTGAGGGGCTGCCTTCTCTAGCTGTCTTATTGGGGTTTCCCTGCCTTCCCTTGTGCCCCTGGGCTCCTTGGTGGTCATGGAGACAGGACTTCTGTCACGCAGCCTGAGCAAATACTCTGCAAATAGTATCTTTCAAGTATGTCTTGTACTTTGGAATTGAGACAACTTTACTTTACAGATTTAGGACAAGAGGACTACCAAATCCCCCGAGTTCATCTGTTACTATGAAATTCAGCAGCAGATTAGTGGGTGTCCTGGTTTCAGCTGGGACAGTTATTTTTTCACTTTGTAGTGTCTGCTGTGGTGCTTTGTTTCTGCCTTGGGAGAAAAACAAATTTGATAACACACAAATGTTTTAGTTTTAGCTGAGCCAAGGATGTTTCAACTTTCCATATTGTCCTGCCAGTGAGGGGGCTGAAGGGGAAAAGGAGCTGGGAGGGGACAGTTGACCTAAGCTGGACAAAGGGATATTCCATACCATATGACATCATGGGGAAAAAACTTCATATTGGCCAGGGGAGCAGTCGCTGCTTGAGGACTGGCTGGGCATCTGTTGATGAGTGGTGTGCAATTACACTGTGCATCATTTGCTTCATAGACATACATCATTACCATTACTATTGTTATTTTCCTTTTTCTTCCTTTTCTGCCTTAGAAAACAGTTCTCAATCCACATGTTCTACTTTGTCATTTTTTTCCCCCAGTTCTCTCCCCCATTCCACTGGGAATGTGGAATGAGTGACCCTGTGGTGCTGAGCTGCTGCCGGCTTAAACCACAATGATGGGAAAACACGAAGCTTGCCAAATCGCTCACTCTGAATTGTAAGACCAAACACTGGCCATTCTTACTGTCTGTAGGAGCCAGATATCATTTCTCACATTGTCTTCATTGCTGTTTTTTTTTTTTTTTTTTCTCTATCAAAACAGTACTGGTTGTAGAACAGCAGGACAGCACCCTACAAATATGCTTTTATTGAAGACTTATTTAAGAAAACTCCAGTTAACAGCCCAATGCAATCTAGAAAATACATCATCCAAAAATACCCCAAGCAAGATCACATTCATCAGACATAGAGTTTGCAAGTACTTTTCATTCATATTAAACCCAAGGCAGGGGTTGCTTTGATACTCATTCTAAAATGATAGCATTTGTTTAAATCACAACTAAAAGCCAAAAAGATAAATCACAGACTATGAAAATCTCATTTTAAGGTAAAGAACACAGACATATTAAGGAACTGACTGCAGGAATTAATAAAAGTCTCAGATTGCAAAGTATATTGCCAGCTGAGCTGTAGTGTCTGACAATTTATCCACAAGAAGATAAAAGGAAAAAAAAATGAAAACTTTACCAAAATAAGCTATCAAGTTTCTAATTACTTGGAATATTAATTTATTTGTAAAGGCATAAAATCTTCTTGTGCTGCTACAGATAAAATGTAGATAAAATTATTTATTTGATGCTCCGTGCAGATCACTCTCTCTTCTATATTAACTAATTTAAACCTGCAGACTCACCATTAAAATAAATGAAATAAGCTTAGACATGTTTATGTAACTGAGAGCAGGATATGAAGTAAAACTTGCTGGGTTTTGGCAAGTGTTTTAGTAAACAATGACATTGTAAAACATGTTCTTACTATTACTTTCATTATTTGAACTATCAAAGGTGAAAGCTGAATATTCATTTGTACGGATATCTGTACTGGCTCAATTTAGTACAGACATTTTCTTTGTTTTCTCTGAGGCACCTCTGAACTTGCTTTTCAGTCTCCTCTCCTCCTGAGGACCTTCTCCATCAAGATTCATATAGCTGTCACTACATCACTTTAAAACCTCCTTTCTAGCATGTATGTCACAGCATTCATAATGTTGGCACAGTTTGAGTCAAACAGTGAGCTGACACACCTGGTTTTAATGACAAACTGCTCTATTGCCATTGTTCCCTCTTAGCCCTGCTCCTCTCCATATTTTTCAGCTCAGTCACCTGCTGCATGTCTGCTACTCAATATCTACTTATCATTGCAAGGAGTGACCCCATTTAAAAACCAAATATTTCAGAATTAGTAAGAGTTTAGTCCTTTTATCTGAAATAGAACATCTCCTGTACCTCATGCTCTCAGTTCACCTACAGACGAATGCATCGGCTGTGACCTACTTCACCTTTTCACTGGGAAGAGGGAGCAAAACTGGATAAGGCAAAGGAGAGGTGGAGTGAACACTGACTGTGGCAAATAGCAGTGGTTTTATTCCAGCTCTGAGAGGTCAAAGCCAGTAGTGGTTCAGAGAGATCTAATGGGTATGGAGTAGACCTGAGATGGGTTGTCAGGAAGTAGAGAACTATACTAATATTACTGTGGTTACCATGGCAAATATCATTATCTAGAAAATATTTGGTAGTATGTACTCTTAGAATCTTGGTTCTGCTACAATATCAATGCATGTCTGTCACTATCTTGCACAGTATCTAACTCTGATTTACTGCAGATATTTTCAAAATTGCATGCAAATTATTCAAAGTTCATGGAGTAACTCCAGAATTATTCCAGTATAGCATGGAGAACAGCTCAGTTCATAAAGAAATATATTTTTCAAAATGAGAAGTGTCTTAGTCGGCAGTACATTAGGGCTGATACTTATACCTTGTCCTATAACTGTGTGTGTGTGTGTGTGTGTGTATTACAGTTATACTTCTTTCATGCAGGAATGCTTTCTTTCAGTCAGTAAGTTCCTGAAGGTACCACCTGGTTATTCCATACTTAGGATATATCAATGGCCCATGGCTTATAGGTTCCAGGTTTATCTTTTGGAATCTGAAAGAATGTAAAGAAAACATAATTTTGCTAAGTGGAAAGAAAATCTTAAATTCACAAATGCGTCTTCCTTTTCATCCATTTCAATGTCATTGCATGAACAAATCCACTCTTTTTCACATAATAAAGATCTGCGAAATCAACCAACTTGCCTCTAGTCAACTGTGAACAGTTAATTAAGGACATCTCTCCATAGCACATGTGAGCCCACTGCCTGAAAGTTTCAGGTTACTCATAGGAGGAACTGATATATGAAATTCAGTTGTACAACATGATTTAATGGAACTGCATTAAATTCCAGAGGCCATGAAGTCTGCAAGGAAATCCTAAATTTCAGAGGGCAGAGATAGAATGTCAACTCCTGATGACAAGATAAAAAGGTCATCTTCATTTAAACTCTAAGTAGTTAACAAGTGTATGCACAACACCTAGATGACAAAGGTTCTTGATTGTGGTTATGATTTCTATTAATATGAGAAATTCTATCAATGTGAAATACTTGATCACTGTGTATCGTGTGCAAAAGGAAGCAGAAGTGAATGGATGTGGAATTCACAGTTCCAAGCTCTAGTTAGGATGAGGTCAGAATGTCTCCAGCTGGCTGCCATTGAAAGAGATAGTAGCCTGCAGGTTTGCCTAAGTCAACTTCTGTCCCTTTTCATAGAGAAATTTGCAGCCTATGTTAGAACAGTTTTTCAAACCCAGCTTCGTGGGCCTTTTGATCAGACTTCCAATAGTGAAATATTGGCTTAGTGTGTGGTACCTCTTTTTTTAATTTGAAAACTGTATTAGAAATAGTGTGTGATTTCTGGAATACCAGAAGATTTGCAGATACCCAGAGAAGATCTGAAAGCAGCCCCGTTTAGATTTTATACCAGAAATGTGTCCCTGATGTTCTGCACAGGCTAAGGACTTCTGGCTCCTCAGATCTACCAAAAAATCCCTTGGGTCAAAACACAGCAGCTCTTGTTCTCAGCAGGGTAGTAACTGAAATTGAATGCTAAATTAAAGAATCTTGGCACAGTCTGGTCTGGTATTTCCCTATTTCCCTATCTGCAAAATACTCACCTCGTTCACTTTCTGACTGGACACAGACCGTGGTGATAAAGGCTGCAAAACCTTTGCTATTAATCTAATCATTGTTCCCATGCTTTATTCCTTTCATTTTGTTTTATTCCTCTTTTTTTCTCTTCAGCTTATAAACAAACAGAAATCTGGGGCAAGTGACAACGTATTACACAACACCTGGAAAACCTGCTGAAGTAGCCTAAAACTATTAAGTCAGAAAACAATGTGGTCATTCCTCTCTTCTCCTTTGTGAATAAATTTTTTTGTGTGATCATCATTGGCTTGGACAGACAGGGGATTTAAGTTGGCTCCTGCCTCAGTCTCACAAAAAGAAGCACACTCCAACAGCTACTGTTCTGTTCTGCCAACTCCTAGTGAGAGAAGGGCAAGATGCAAGAAGAGTGGATTAAACATCCTACTCTGGAAAGAAAGCAGAGAGCATAGATGGCTATCCAAGTAATTTCAGCAACTAGCGGAAATTTAGATAGAAGTACACAGTCAAACCTTTTGGTTGCCTGTTCTATTAGAGAAAATATTAGAAGATAAGATTATGTCAAAAACAGCCAGAGCTGGCTTTACGTTGCAGCTGCTGACTGGGAAGCTCTACAGTTCTCAAACTCAGATATCAAAACTACAAGAAATTACAGTACCTGAGATAGGCAGAAAATAGGTCTTTTGCATGTTTACTGAAAGCATGTAGTATGCCAAGGCTCACAGCACTTGTAATCTTAGCTAGAAGTGCATTGTACAATGGGGAGAGCCATTGCCAGCCTCAGCCTTTTCATAAAAATCACGGATACACTCACTGAAGTAGCTCCAGGAATACTTATCAGATCATGACACAGAGAATGAGCTTATATGATGTAACAGGGACCTAGACAGTTCAGGCCTCTGCAGTGAATACTTCAAATTTGCACCCTCAGATTCTGTGTATGCCACTGTCACCAGGGTTGCTTGCATGAAACCATACCTAGAACTCAAATGTTGTATTTGGGAGTGTTCTTGTGCAATTAGTCTATATTTTAACTCCACGTTATTACAAGACCTGGATCCATATTTCCGTCTTCCTCTTTTTTAAGGAAGAAAGGTAGGAAACTGGGGTACAAGGTTCAGAGTGAAACTAGCATAGATTGGAAGCTTTGAACTAGTGGTGAAGCATACCTACTGTGTCTAGACACAGTCATATTTCCTCACAGAGATGCAAATTAAGTGGCACTAAAGACAAACTCAGACCATAATCTCAGAAGTATTTTAAAGGGCCCTTAAATTAATTACATTGAAATTTTCGCTTCTGAGGAAAAGGGACAGATACCTCAGAGTTTTGGAGTGTTGCTAACTCTGGCCACCCATTCATATTACAGCTGAGAAAAGTGTCACTGATGAAATAAAATGCATAACTCTGCTAATTGTGGCATCCTGAAGAATAGAGATGTGGCTCTGGCACTGATCAGACTATGTGCACTATGTCTATCCAGGTTAAAGAGGAGTACTGAGGAGGTAGCTAGCTCACAAAAGGAATGGAAATACTGTTACCATCTTAGTAAAGATATCATCACAGGCCATACGAATCCGCTCAACAGTCAAGGGGCTGTTCAGTGTGAAGTCCAGGGGTAGTCCTCTTTCTTTCCGTGCAGCAGCCACTGCATCACGTATTGCAAAAAACACTGAACTGCCCAGGAAAAATCCAGCCTCACCCACGCCCTGGTAGAGGAAAGAGACAGCTGGAGAGATGGGCTTAAAAACTAACAGCAGAGTTGAATCATTGTATATTTGCTGTAGTTATCCAAACTATACTAACTCGCGCTAGCTTTGTATTTAGTCAAGTCCAGCATATACACATTGAGCAGCTCTACTCATATCTCTGAGAGCTTTCAGTTTAGAAAAACATCGAGATACAGGATTTGGCTAGTGAGGACCATTTTAAAACTTACAGTATAGCTACACTATCAAAAAAGCTTTATGGTGTGACTTCTGTTGTCACATTATAAAGCCATGAAATAACTTACAACTGCACACATAAACTACTTGTTCTATATCTAAGTGGTCATACTGAGGAATAAAGTCCCCTTTAGCCCCCCCTCCTGCACAGATAAAGTCTGTGCCATCTACACCTGATATTGTGTTCCTTGTCTCTGTTTTCTTCATGTGGAACCGTTTGTTTACCCTTTAATACCAGGGAAGAATATAAGCACCTGGAGTGGACTTTCTTCTGAAAATTCTTATTCCTTTATCTAGATTCAAGGCTGTAACAGTGGGCACTCCTGTATTTCAGTAGCCAGAGGCTTCCTCCAATTTCCCCTTTGATTTTAAGTGCTTTTGTTTTGAGGCTACAAACTGGATTCTCAGAGGATAATATTCCCTTAAAACACAACAGCAGGTGCTCTGCAATGCCTAATGGAAGAACTAGACTCTATTCCTGTATCTATGATAGATTTTCCGTACGATTCTAGAAAGTCATTCAACCTCTCATCTCACGACTTCTCCACTTTTAAAAAGGATCACAGTATTTCCTTCTTCCATCCTTCCTCCTCTTAGGCACTTTAAATTCTTCAAGATGGATTCTTTTGCTCTGAATGCATTGCACAGCAACAAGGAACAAAAAAGGGTTTCAATTTTGATTAGGATGTTTAAGTGCTACTGTACTGCAAAGAAATCAGGAGGAAAATGAATAAAAAAGCTCAGAACAACAGTGCTTCATCATTTGGATAATCTTTAAGCACCGAATCAGAAACTGGAATTACTTCAAGGAAAAAAGTATCTACCATACTATACAGCCACTGAAGGTTTTGCAGCAGAATCGCCTTGTTTGCTTGCAAACAAGGTTTGGTATGCCTACCTTGGAAGAATAGATAGCAATTGAGTTGCATGAATTTGGCAGTAAATAGACATGGAATTGCTCAGGAATGTCACAAACCGCAGGGATCTTGTATGTATCTGGACTAAGAGTAAGCTGCTCTCCTTCGGGGGAAAAGTAGATTTCTTCTAATGTGTAAAGACCAACCCCCTGAATGAAGGCCCCTTCAATCTGAACAAAGAAAAAAAAAAAGTTAAACACTTACAACTCATTCAGGCATTTTAAAAAGACAAAAACATACATAGAATTAGACCTTCTGAGATTACACATAAACTGGAATCTTTCCTTCCAAAATCAGATGTTAGCCAACATAGACTGAAATAGGGCCTATGTGTCCTCATCTGACTTACACAAATATTTCCATTGGCTCAAGTTCTACTCTTCTTTATTCCTGGCTAAATTCACCGTAACTAGTGCAGTTACCTCTGATTTGCTTTGGCAAAACTGAGTCAAGCGTAATCTATTAACTTAAAGCTTATTGTTCACAGGAATGCGATGAGGAGATATTTGCTCAGGGTCTATGACATAAATAGTCTGTCCAGTCTGTTATTTTCTTATAAAGATTTGTGGATAGCTAAGGAATTCATTATAGAGAAACAATCTGTCAGACACAAATAGCTGATAAATTGGTTATGAAGAGAAAGTCACAAAGAAAGGCAATCTAAAGTAGTAGAGGACAACTGCTGAGGAGACCTCTGGGCCATCACAGTACTTGATATAAATAAACACTGCTGCAAGATGAACATAGCATTGAACTGCTAGTAAAGAATGATTTGATATATTTGAAAATCCTTGAATGTGCAGAATAATCATTTAGACAAAGAACATGTATATAAGGATGAGCCTGTAATAGGATAAATGAACAGGGTACGAAAAGTTTTTTAAATTTAAGTCAGATTCTTAGGAGTGTTTTCTTTGATTCTGCAAAGAAATGACAACTTTTTTTTTTTTTTTTTTTTTTTTTACATTTCTGAGTTCACCACTACTTTCTTATTTATAAACTATTAGTGTCACTGCTTTTGTTATTTAGTTTATCTGCAGGTGTAGATAGTTCAAGAAAGGTCTGTTCCATGTCCACAACTTTTTCCATGAAGTTGAAGTCAGCAGTACCCTGCAGGTGGCTGAGATTTAGCCCTCTCAATAATTCTAGGCTAGAGTAAACTGATCAGGAAAATTCACAAGTTGGTTCAGGGTGCTGATCTACAACATATTTCCAAGTGAGGTCCGATGGTTCTTCTTCTCTTAACACTTCTCAAATATAAGAAAAAATAAGATATAGAAAACTTAACCTAGTATTTTTTATAGCTGCAAATAAAAACAAGCAGTACATCTATTTAGTCCAGCCTCCTTGATCACTAATGCACAGCATGTCTTAGGCTTTGGTGGACATTAATATAACCAGTAGTAGCAATCTTTTAGATATAAAGAGGGATGTGCACTAATATTTGATAAAAAACTGTAAAAGTACATACCTGTCCTATATCTATAGCTGGATTTATGCTAAAAGAGGCATCCATCACAATGTCTGTCCTAATGTTCTGTTAAACAAATAAAAGGTGCTATAAAGTTATATTTAAAATACACAACAACAAAGGGATGCTAAGCAATATATAGTCTCACTCATTACAGATATGTAACAACAGGTGGTATTACAAATTTACTCTGAAACATGAGAGCTACTTGAGACAGGCTATGCTGATAGAGAGCTCATCCATATGATTCATTTTTTTATGACTGTCTGAAACTTGCAATGTAATGTGCACATCCAATGCATAACAAGATGATAATGAATTCAAGAACAGATTTGTCGCTTGCTCTCTGACAGAAACTTAATTGCTTGAAGTGACATTTAGCCATTTTCCATGCTTTGGAGCGTGGAAGCACTGACACCTGTGAGGAAGTTCCTTATGTAGAGAGAAGGGCACAGAGAAAAGTGTCTACTGGGTTTTCTTACATGAAGACCAGTGGCTTTTGCTTCTAAATTCTAGCTTGCGTAGCTTGACCAGGTTCAGAGTCCAGTGACTTTGGCATCTAGTTCCACATGGGGTACTACACAGATGAGTTACTATAGACAAATGTGATTCCCCAGCAGCCATGAAGACATTGGACTGGGGCTCCATCCCAACATGCTGAAAGCTGTCCATGGACTAAATTCTCACTGCAACAGATCACATTATGTGATAGTGACTTTTCCTGTTTTAAATGTAGCTCTGTCAAAAATAGGCTGTAATTAATGATTTGGACTTGTGCTACTGAAAAGCTAACTTGTAGGAAGATGTCCACAGGGTCTAATTGAATTTCAAAGCCATCGTAGATAATAGAAACATTAGATCTTTTTTATTTTCTATTGTTCTCATATACTTCCTTAATCTTCTTTTAACAACAGATTTTATCAAAGAATAGGATGAACAAATTATAAAGGATTCTGTAGCCATTTATTGTCATGCTGTTTCTCTATTCTTAGTCAAAAGAGCAAGAGGAAAAAAAAGTCACATGAATGTAATGAAAGTGGCCACTACCTTGTGTGCTCCTGTAAGGCAGTCAATTTCTACTTCAGAACAGGCAGCTCCATAGAGAAAATATGGGAATGCATGGCCTTTCTTTGTTTTCCAGTTCATGTCTGTCACATAACCTCTAGAGGAAACAAAAACATCCCTCAGATAATATGAATTTGATCAAGACACCCTTCTTCCACTATCCTCATTCTCATGAATAATGCTTGTTGAGATCACTATGGGAACCATTTAAGATGAGAAGTAAACTCTGTAAATGACCTATTTTCATAGGATCCTCATAGTCAAAGACAATCTAGAGTACTGTACACTGATAAATATCTGTTGCATTGAATACTTTGGGAAATTAAGAATGTTGCAGTCATGATGGTTATCAAGTCAAATCCTTGTGGGTTTCCTGTATTCTATTGTAGTTGGCCTTGAAGAAGACCCTGTGTACCCACCTTCAAATCTTTTATATCCCTGCATAGCTAGCCAAGGTTGAAAAGATGACTTCCTGTTGTGTAAACAATGCAGCTTGACCCAGGCATGGTTTGTGTGCTGCATCTGATATGGCCTTGAGAAGACTGAGTGGGGACAGTTTTATCCTGTCTGTATCATATTGCCAAAATGGCATTTCTGATTAAAAGATTAACAGCTTTCCTTACTTGAAATAGCCAGTAGCTGAAAGGCTGATGCTCTTCTTGTGAGCTTCACTGATCTGTAAAAGGCACACTTATTATTAGACAGAAAATTTTAAAAATCTTTCTGATATTCTTTATCGTATTTAAAGAAAAAATGAAACTTAAAAAATTTGTTTAAAGAAAATGGAAGCCTAAGTAAAAGCTTTACATTTCCTAGTGTCCTGAACAGGTCTCTAGGAAGGGACACATTGCAAAAGACAACCTAAATCTGTCCAGATTTACTAGGGCATTGTGTTACACCACTTGCTTTTCTACAGTTTCTTCTCTCTCTTCCAGTTTACTTTGCAGAGAGGCTCCTTTCTGCCCCCAGAACAATGGCAGGCGTGACACTGTATCCATGGTTTCATCATAATTTAGTAGCAAGAAACAAAGAGACACTTACCCAGTCTTCCCATTTGCCTTTAGGATTATTTCTTCGGATAGGGTCCAGACGCTTCCAAAGGATTTGACAAGCATCCTAGAGAAGAAGTTAAGCACCACAAAACCAAATCTATCGGCTGTTTTCTATTTTCAAAGAAATACAAATGCTTTCCTGGTGAAGTTAGTTTGTCAAATGCTTCATCAACAAGTTCTGTTTTTACTCTCACTTGATAATTGCTCAAAGAAAGGCTGATTTGGATTAGCAAATTCATTCTGTAGTTCAGAATTCTCTTCATCTAGTTACAGTTTCTTTCCTCTGCTAGCAGCCAGCTACAAAGCAGCACTTGTTCACACACTAGGCAGCTGTTGAAATCATAAACAAAGAGAAGACAGGGGACCTGATTCCCCTTCTGTCTTGATTCACTACATCTACCAGTGTGAATGATTTCTTTTGAAATAAATGAAAGAAGAATTGATCCCAAAGTACCTAAGTGGATAAGAGTGATTAATTTTAATTTTAATTAATTTAGGCACTATTTTAAAAGTGCCTAATGTGTATCTTATGATAAATTTTCCTTTAAATTTTGTTCATATGTTCAGAATAAATTGAAAATCCATAATTTTCTCTAGAGTAAACCTGAGAAAAACCAAAGTTTGTACATCTGATAAGCTTTAAAGCTACTCTTTTTAGCAATGTTTCTATTATTTGCCTTACTTTAAACTGTGCATATAAATTAAACTAGCAACAGAAGCTTTGAGATAAAAGAACTGGTGCTTTTTGAAAGCTGCTCAAAAATAAAGATGAAATTATGAATTGTCAAAGGGAATTCATTATTTAACAGAACGAATGATCATGGGAAAAAAATAGTAGTAAGTCTAACCTGTACTGCTCTTGCATTGATTTCTGTCCCTACTGATCCTGCTGTGTATTTGCCATTAGGTACAGTTGTTGAGCTTGTTTCACAGAAGTGTATATATGACAGTGGTATCTTCAGTTCACGGCTGGCAATCTGTAATAAAATTAAATAAAAGGATATCCAGTCCTACTTGAAGAGACAGTCTGAAATCAGGAAAAATAAGGCACAGTCATTCATGTCTCTCTATATATGCACACAGAGAAATGATCTAATTCAAAGTAATGTTGTAAATAGGACAATACTGAAGTCCTCCTTAACAATTATTCTGTAATACAAATAATTTATTAGTAAATTCAGATACTAGAAGATAGGATAAAATAATACAATGCAATACCATATGTTTTGCCATTAATTAATTGCTCTATTTAATCAGGTTTTGGTTTTATATATATACATATACATATATATTTCAACCAAGATTTAACAATAAATCATTAATCCTCATGGATTTTCAAATCTTCTTTTTATCTTTTCCTTTCTATGTCGTTTCAAACAGCTTTGTTAGCTTGTTTTCACACTTCACTGTTTTTCAGCATTCTAACATTTCAATAACATTCAACTGATTTTGAAGGAATGATCTCATTTTTCCTCCAAAAGTAAATATTTAGCACATGGTTTTGTATATCACTGTTTGCACCTGAGTGCATAAAAACGGACTGATGTTGCCATCAGTTGCAAAGTTACAGTTTCTCAGTAGTTTAGCTCCTTCTGCAAAAAAAAACTGTTGAATTCTTTTTGCACGTTTTCTCTGTGCCTTAGCCATCCTGGTATCAGTGAGGAATATCACAAAGATGTTCAGCTACTATCCTCACCTTGAAAGATTACATTGATTATAGCTTATATTTTTCCCAAGATTTGTTTTCACCAGTAACTCTGAAGCAACAACTCAAAGTTAAACTTATCTTTCTTACTGAAACAAAATTTGTTGCACATCTGAGTGTCATCCATCTTTTTGGCTCAGTTATCTTGTTGCATTTACTCTCAGATGGCAACTCTTACTCACCTGTAACATCTTAGTGTGAATTCCTTGTCCAAGTTCAATGCCACCATGAGTTACTAGTACAGACCCATCTAAGTAGATATGGACAAGAGCACCAGCCTAAAGGAAAGATATGGAAATGTGATAATTCTCTTACTGTACTGAAACAAGAAGGTGCATAAGAAGGGGAACAAGGTAAAAAAAGATTTATTTCATAAGAATCAGTATATTACCAAGAACAAGGATAAATTCTCCAGTAGTCTGACAATAAATTTCACCACTCAAGAGCAGGATGGTTCTAAATGAGCTAGCAGTTACTAAGAGGAGTTCTGTAGGGATCACAGTAATTAGTTTATATTACAGAAAATCCTATCTGTTTTCTTGTGAAACTGAGAACATAAATATACTGGCTCTAGTTATATGTGAAGCCCCAGATCCACTGAAACAAAGAAGTTGTGATGAAAGTAATCACACAAGCCACTCACTCTTATGAAGGAATAATTGGATAGGAAAGAGAAATTCTGCAAATTTGCATTCTGCAGCATGGGAACAGCTCCCAGCAGTTAGAGAGCAAACAGCAGAGCCTGAGAGGTGTTATGAAATACCATGCCTCCAAAACTTTTTTTTTTTTTTTCATGTTATTAATTTTACATTGAGAAATAATAGTCACGTGATCTTTTTGGTGTCAACTTGTGACATTTGCAATCAGGTAACATTTTGCTAATGTCAGTCAGTCTCAGTGACAGAGACCACAGCAAACAATAAACCCATTCTCTATGATTTAAATCTAGACCTTCAATCAGCACAACGCCTGACCTTTACTTTGAATGGTTTGGTTAACTGTAATTGTTATTTATGCCTTTTACTGATCTTTTGTATCAAATGAACTGTGATCTCTAGGTTCAATGCTTACCATGAGAATGTTATTGAAAGAATTATATGAATCTCTCTATAAACACTTAATCTACAAATTTGTCCAGAAACAATCATGAGATGCAGCAAACAGCAGAGATATGAACAACATGTGTTTACTTTTTCATGCATTGCACCTCCATAAGCAAACCACAGTATTTGTTCATTTAACCTGGAACCCACTTGAGAAAGGTTCAGGGTATGAATTAAAAACAAACAAACAAACATGCCAAAAACAAAACAAAACCACACGCACACACAGAAACCAAACCAAAAAACAACACACCACTATCACCACCAGATAAATACAAACGTGTAAAATTTTCCCAGAAGTGCTATCATCTTGAACCATAAGAAATTCCAACAGCAAGCTAGCTTATCACATAGCTGGGGCTATCTCAACTGGAGAAGTGAGCATTTCCCTCACTAGGAACCAATCTGAAGTTCCACATTTTGACAGTGAATTATTTAACTTTTTGCTGGGTAAGTATAGCAAGCTGGGAATCTGCGACCCAGATTCTGTGAGGTGATAGTCTTATATGGAGCTAACATTTCTGAAGAGGTCAGCTGGGTACAGTGATATTCTTTCTGAGAGTGAGTATACTTCAGTGGATGATACTTTGTGTCACCCTAGCTAGTAAGAATAATTTTCCCTTCCTCTCTCTCTCATGCCTGCCTATTGAGACTGCAGTTCTCCGTGGAGAAATATAGAGATCTTAGATAACAAAAGCACTATTTTGAAAGAGTTACCTGATGAAAATAGGTTGCATTAAATCCAACAGAAAATTTCATGGGAATGATGGCAATCCCTTTCTTTTTCCAGTAATTCTTCCTGTTAAACTCTTCCACCTTTGTGTTCCGGCTGTGGTAGTCAGACTTAACCAAACATTCTTTCCAACATTTCCACAGATTCTCTGCATCAAATTTTTCTTTGAAGGCTGTTCGGTTAACTCCTCTGTACATGTTTATTTCCCTAACCTAAACAGCAAATGAATTTATAAAGCGCTGAAAATAGTAATTATATAATATTATAATTATTATTATAATGTAATGACATGTTGCACATTACATAATGGCATGCCATATAATATAGTAATATAATTAATATTTAACCATCTTGAATGTAATATTATATCAGTTTCTGTAAGGAAATCACTACCTAAGTGTTCTGATCTCTTCAATCAGGTAAAATGTCAGTGAACTTCAGTAGCGCCAATGCGATTGTTCACATGACAAGACTACTCAAGGCAAAGACAGCTAGTAAATCGAGATTGTAAGTAAGACTAGACAAGAATGGCAGAACAACATGGGGCTAGGTGAAAACATCAATGATAGTGAACAAGAGTACAATGGACACCCAGTAAATCTCAGGAAGACTTTTAAAAGTGGGGAGAGAAAATTCATGGCACATAAGAAAACCATTATGCCTTGTCTAGAGCTGTTTTAAGTTGACATGAGGAAATCAAAAGTGTGGAACAAGTGTGGGCTGGGAGATAAGCAGATGGATAAGTGAGAGCAGAAGTTAAGGTTAAAAAACTGTTTTGGTCTTTAAAGCTATGCCTGAATCCTCTCCTGGAACGTGAAAAAAAGACATAAAGCAAATGGGACAGGAAAGAGATTCAAAGAAATAAGGAAAAGACATGATGGTTAGCATCCTAGGAAAGGAAAGTTATTTATGAACCACAGTTGTGTTACACAATTACATGCGAAGAAGGGAAAGGTTGCACCAGGCTGAGCAATGTATAAGGAAAGGCTGAATGTCACAGACTGGAGAAAAATGCTGGGAAATTGCCTCTTCAGGGGAGAGAAGAGAGAAGTGGCAACTCAACTCAGTGACTTAGCTGACAGGATCCAGCTAACTAGACTGGTGATAGATGATAGAATGAAGTTCTGACAAGCTGAAATTCAGGTAACAGCTAAATGTACACAAATTGGTAAGAAACTAGTCATAGAATGCAAGAGATTATACTAGTTTGATTGAAGCAGGACATACTAATAGCAATCATCAAATATTTTCCAACAGATCCTGGGCCAACTTTGTCCACTGTTACCTCTACTACATCAAGTATTGTTCCATAGAAGAACAGGTCTTGGATAATGTACCATTCAGCCCAGGTAAAGTTGGTAGATCTGGCCCTATAAGAACTGACTTAAGAACAAGGAGCTTCAAAAGAATTATTTTTTATTCTATATTTTATTTGGCAGTCTTAGTTATTTTACCTTCTCATGTGGTAGTCCAGTCTTGGTTGCCACAGCCACAATACAGGTCTCCACAAACAGACCTGCCTGAGGAAACCCAAATCCTCGAAAGGCAGTATTAGAAGGCAAATTAGTCTTGCAAGCATGGCCCCTGACTCGGAGATTAGGAATATTATATGCATTGTCCACTTTCAGCACAATATACTCAATCACCTGTAATATGAAATTATAGAGATTTAAATGTCTCAATTTCCTTTAAAGAAAATGGTGAAAGATTCTCAAGAGATCAATAAGATGCAATTGCTTTAAGGTGGAGCAGTACTATACTGAGGTGTACTGTTCTCTGCTGTTTTTACACTGATGTATATAAACATCATAGGAATTAGAATAGCATGAAAAGCATTACTGGGGGGAAAAAGCAGATTTCAATTTGGGGAAAATCGGTGAATAATTTTATGATAAATGGGTACCTAATAAAACTTCTTGCATCTCTGTCCTCATTCAACAGATCTGATTTTTTTTATGTCCCAAATTTTCTGTAATTAAATTTTCAATGTCCTTATTATCACCTGGCAAGAACTACTGCACTGCCTTAATGACTGCATTTCTACTTTATGGAGGCAAGAGTTGCACTTAGCAAGAACAGGAATATTCTTAAGAGAAATAAATTGGAACAAAGAGCTGTTATTTTCTTTTTGTGACCAGTTTAGCCTGTGCATGCAGTATCAGTGAAGAAGGACTTACCAGCTCAGATTCATCTTTTGTACAGCCACCATTTATATAGCATTGAAAATCTGCGGCCATTATTCTACCATCCTTCATGAATCCGACCTGTAATATTGCAACCAATACATTAGTGGTCTTTCCTCTGATGTATTTCAAACTTCTCTTTAGAAATAAGCTAACCACTTAACAAATACAGCTTGAGGTTCAGAATACAGAATGCAACGGGATTTCTTTCCACTGAATTGAAAACATAAAAACCTTTGTGGATTTCTGTTTTTAGGATGGTACATGTTTGGATCTGAATACTCAAACCAAGAGCAAAATAGCACATAAAAGCTATGAATTATCAGAATGCCTCAGTTTCTCACAGAGCTATTCTCCCAGATCTAGCCACTGACCATCCTCTTATTCATGCAGAATCTGTTCACCAGAAACTGTTCACCCCTGTTTTCCATTTGAAGAGAGACTAGAAGGAAGATGACAAGACCACTAAAAAAAGTACTAATTATGATTCTGCTTATTTTATTTCCTGAAGAATTTCTTTTGTAATCATCTTCCATTCTGATGATTTCATTGCCTAAACAATAAAATAAAGTGAGCAAATAGTGCATATATCTGGCATATCAGATGTTCAGAAACATACAATAAATTTAATTTTAGTTTTGGTTTCTTCTCTAAAAAAACAGGTTCTATATTCAGTTTATTTTGTAATATTTAAATGGGAAAAATTACAGAAAACTTTAAAATAACTAGAGATCAAATTCTTAACTGATGGAAAGTCATGCAGCTCCACGAGGATTAAGAATAGGAAGATGAATGCTGTTGCTGGTTAAATTCTGCTTAGCTGCAAGGGTAAGATAAGAGTTGGGACCAATGGGGCAAGTCCTGTTTGCTTAACATAGTTAAGCAATTCCAGTAGTTTCATGCAGTATGGGCAGTTCTTACAATTAGGTAAAACAAAAGGTAGGGCAAGTGTCAGACTTAGAATTTGAGAGATCAAGGTCAACATTCCTACTCTTTCTAACTTGTTCCCATTATCCCAATTTTAGGAAAAGACAGGGAAGTTATAACTACATCAAAATAAAATATGAACTCTATGTCTGTGGAAGTTATTGAAAATTCAGTGAGAAGTATAATTATTCCTCCTTTTTTATCCAAAAACATAATCTTGGTCATAAATCACAATATTTATTTTAGCTTCAAGATAGTTAGTGACTGAGTAACTGCACCAGAGTCAATATGATTAATCAATGGTTTCTTCTTCTCTAAGGCTACACCTAAGTACTGAGCTCCATTTAAGATTCGGCAGCAGAAAAATGAACTCTTAGTTATCTCTTTTCCTTATGGTTTAGCCTGGCTTCTAACACCCTACATGGGACACTTAGAGGTAACCAACATCTGAAACTGAAGTAAACACAAGCTTTTGCTACTAGCACTAACTTTGAGACTCAGAGATGATGTACGGAGAAAATAAGCTCTCTACATCTATTTCAGCCCCTCTAGCAGTAACCATAATCAGGGATCCCTGGTTAGGAATGATCCCTGCACAAATGAACCATAAACCCTTTCAACATCACCTCAACAAAGCTTGGGGCCTATTTTGTAAGTAACATTCCTCTCATCAATTTCTTTGTGAATCCCAACTGTCACAATTGTAAAAACAGCCTTAACTCTTAAGCATACATCCCATCCAATATTGATAATTATTCTAGGTTTATTAAAGTCTTACATGGCGTTAAGTGATTATTGATGTGTGACTTGATAATCAAAAGTTTGAAACACACACCAAATACAAAGCATGACCCAGTACTCATCATAGCTTAAATATCCACATAAGATTCAGAAGAAGCCATAGTCCTCTTGCTTTTACTTTCCAAAGGGTATATATGGGTTCCCTAATACAAGTCTAAGTCTATAATGGTGATTCTCATTAAAAGGTAACTGAAGTTAAATAAAACATAAGCCAAACGCTGCTTTTTTAAGAGAGCTATCATAGTACTTCAAGGCTCATGGAAATACAAGAAATCACAAATTTTATCCAAATCCTAATCCAAATTCTAGTCTTAGAAATAATGAGGCACTTTTTTCCTTCAGCAAAGCTAGTTATAAGTCAAGAGGAGAGATGACCAATTTTTGCTACCACACCCATTTCCTCATCAGGACTAGCCCTCATCTTGCTTCCTGAAGTACATGTATTAGAAAGTCCATGCATCAAAGTTACGTTGGGAAACCAAGTGCTTAACCCCTTTTCCCCAAATCCTACCCCTCAACACGTGTTTTTTTTATCCTAGTTTCTATTATAATTAGGTAATAAATACCTAGAAGAGTATGAAGTATGTATGCTATTGACATCTGTCAGTCTCAGTTCCATTCTTCTCCCATGGTTAATACAAGATCTAACAAAAAATGAAACCTTCCTCTTTTCTTTTCCCAAGCCAGTTCTAAACCTAGCCTAAACATAACCAATACCATCTTTGAAAGCAGTATCTTCAGCAAAATGAAAAGTAACACCTCGTCTATCTCAGAAATAAAGAAAATGAAAAACCCCCCCCCCCCCCTTCTTAGCTAAGCTCTATAGCTCATCTAAGAATCAGTAGGAAAGAAACTCCTTGGACCTTCTTTATCCAAACCATACTGATTCATAAGCCCTGTTATGAAGAGTTGTAGTGTCCTCAAATCATACACCAATAATGAAAAGAAGGGTTTTGCACTTGCTAACAACAGTTGCCTAGATGGCTTCAGTGCTGGCTTCATTTATTCAGTTATTCTTAATGTTAAGGATTTAAATAAAGTCAAAAGGAAGAGTTTTCCTACTAGTTGAACTTTCCATTGAGCTGAAGAGCTGGCTTCATTTCTCAGAAGTGGCTTGTATTCAATTCTGATCTAAGCACTTTTCAAATGAGGATGTGGTAGGGCTGATGTTAGCAATGTTTTGAAAGAAAATGGACAGATAGTTTTGCTTATTATTAGACATTGTATGGACTGTAGGATTAGGAGGATAGCTGTTGTTTTTATTCATAGTATTAGGATATTTTTAGGACTGGGGCAAGGTTGGTGCTGGGTTAGTATTTCAGAAGAGGTGGAGTTTGTTTCTTGCTGCTTTTGCCAGTCAATAAAAAGATGCTAACTTATCCCAGCTGAAAATAACTGAGAAACATAACCTCTCTTGTCACTCACTTTATATTTTCCAAAGAAAGGGTGACGTCCACCAGTGATTAACATGTCCATGTCTCTTTCAAGGGCAAAGCGGACTGGGCGGCCGGTCCTAAAGTAAACATAAGTCATCTTTAATTACAGTTTATCTATGAAGATTGAAAAGACATTATATTTATATGGCCAAACTTCTAGTGGCGGCTGTAAAACAACCCATTCTATGTTTTAGTTTCTTATTGACCATCATTTTATCAACCATGCCTGCTGATACTATTAATGCTAATTCAGCAGATAAAATGTAGATTGACTGCTACAGAGACAAGGTAGAGGAACAGAGCTTTCCAGTGACTTTCCTTTAGTGTTTTAAACTGGGAAGTGCAAGAAGTGCACAATGACATGGCAAGGACATTTGAGTAGTGAAAACCTGTGGCACAAAGGGCTGATGTGAGCACACCTAATAAATCCTAACAAGGGCTTTCACTATCCACTACACCTGAGAAAGGCCTGGTTTGTTGGGATTTGTGCAGATGAGCAATAGGAAAAACTGCATAAAGGCTTTTTTTCCACTGTCAGATGGAGAGTAAGTGAATTCTATTGCCAGAATTCAAGATTATTTTCAACCTTCTATCCAAGATTTACTGATATGGAAGATAAGCAAGATCATGTCTTCAAGCCAAAACCCCAAACAGGGTTCAGGTTTAACGTTTCTTTCTATTTCAGTCTCATAATTTCTGATTTATTTAGTTAAATCATTCATTTTACTTAGTTAGATCAACTTACTTGTTGGCTGCCACTGCTGCAATTACAGCAAAGAATGAAGGCTTAGTTATCTTTCCACCAAATGCTCCACCAACACGTTTTGTGTGACACATAATCTTGTTGGACTGGAGGTTTAAAGCTGAAGCCACTAATTTCTGCAAAAATGAAATCCGTGCTTTTACTGAGAATTATCACACATCAAAATACATTAAAACTACCTCTTTTCCATGGCTAACTATGTATTAGAAGCTAACAAGCTTACATACACATTATCCACCCCCATATCAATCTGCTCATTTTTGTCTTTGTTCAGCTTCATCACTAGCCTCTTATTTTTATTAAAAAAGATATTCAAATCAATTAATCTGAATTGGGAGCAGCATAAAGAAGTTTCAAGAGGAGCAAAGGAGAATGAAAGGAACTCTAGGTCTTGCAGCTTATAGTTTTAAAATCATTTAGAAAGGTAAGAAACAGGTAAGAAACATACTTTATTTTACCTGTACATCTGTTGCATGCTGAGTTGATACATACACATCCATTTCTTTATCTTCCATTCTTGGAATAACAAGCACACTATTTGTTTCCAGGTAGAAATGTTCCTGTCCTCCCATGTGCAATTCACCTGGTATGTGTATAATTATAGGAAAAATCTAAGCAGGGTTTCAAGTGAACTGGGAGGGAATTTATATTTGCATAAATACATATGTCAGAAAAAAGAGTTCTATTACAGAAAGAAAATAGAATCACAGTTATTTCTCATTTCTTTACATCTCATGTTTGCACTTCTGGAAATATATGTTTATCTAGAAGAAAGATGCTCAATCACCAAAACCCTGTATAGCTGTATTTATTTCTCTGGCATAAGATCAGATTCTATTTAATATCTGAGGCTTCTTCTTCCTTAGGAGGTTAAATCTGTTCTGTTACAATAGGATTCTAATATATTCTCTTCTAAATCACTCTGTGAGAGAAAAAGTTCTTTTTTCCTTTCTTTTTTATTCTCTCTCCATCAGTATATGCCCTTATCCTGTTTCACTTCTCCTACCCATTTCTTCCCAACACATTCTTTTTGCACAATTTTCCTTTCAGTACATCACAACATAAAAGCTAATTCTTTCAGATTTGTGTTGTGACCTTTACTTTATGCCATCCTTAGGTCTGATTAGTTATTCTTAAAACACAGGTTTATGCAGCAGCAGTAGGAATCAGAACTGATTCCTCGGGAGGATGACATGAAGTGATAGGGAACAGCTGGGAAAAGTCCACAGGAGAGCAGAAAAAAAATCACAGAAGTCATGAACTTGTATGGAAAGATTGACAGAACTGAGGAGGCTCAGCCACAAAAAGTGCAGGAAAACATCTCAAAGTCTGTGGAAGACTGTTGCAAAGAGGTAGAGAATAGTCAGTGTTGTATTCTCACAGAAATAAGAACAGTGTAGTAATGCTTAAGTTACAGCAAAATCAGTAAGACATAAGAATACTCTTGTTAGTCACAGGAATGGTAAAGCACAGGGAAAAATCACTAGTGGGTTAGTTAATCTTCATTTCATCTTGATTATCAATGAAGGGGGAAAAAATCAACAACAGTGTTGTTCTTGTTAAATTCTTTTGAGAGCATAGCAAAAATCTGAGTTCAAGCACCAGCTGGTGATAGATTCTGAATAGCACAACTTCCCTTCCTCTCCTGATGCACCGCACGCACAAACTACCTTCTATGATTTTATCAGCAGACTTAAATCCTTTCTCAATGTCTCCTTTTTCTAGTTTCCTTTCTTTAGTAATGTATGAATTATGTTTTATTGCATCCTGCAGCAAGAAAAAAAGAACATGTTAATTATAATTCACTCAGATTATTTTTATACGGTAAAATCTTCAATTATCATTACGATCCTTTATTCAGATTGACAGATGGTTGCAGCTAAGTATTAGAAAGAGCAGGACAACTGTTCCCATTCCACCAGTAGAGAGCTTCTGTTTTTATTTTTCACAGTTCATACTACTCTGTCCTTCCCCTAGATTAGAAATACCTAATAACTGTTAATGGCACTCAGAGTCATTGAAAATATTTCAAAGTCAGATTCCTTTCTACTGAAGATCAGCCAGACTTGAAGATTTTCAGAACATGGGTGTAGGATGTGTGATTCCAGAATTTCTGCAAAGTAAGCTCTCCAATTTAATTCTATACTGGCCTACTCCTGCCAGGAATTTGGCTCCCACAAGCAAAGAAATTTTCCCTTAACACTTTCTGAATATTTTAAAAACTATTTTGAAAAAGTCCAAAGCCTGACAAAGACCTGCACAAGGAGGTGAACAGTGAACAAGGTGACTTAAGCGTTCTGTCAGACAAGGAAGAGGAGATGCATTGTTACCTTAATGGTGAGGACTGGCTGCAGATCTTCATACACTATCTTCACCTTTTTAGCTCCACACTTTGCCTGCGTCAGTGTCTCTGCAACCACGGCACAGATTATCTGTCCAACACAAATGACCTGCAACACACCAACATACATTACCCAATGAAAAAACATAGAAACAATTACACCTCTCTACAAAGAGTGTTGTGTGGAAAGAGATTATGCACCAGTGCCATTATTTAGGTTCTGTTCCTCTAATAATGCTATTCCACTGCCGACTTAAATTCATTAGCTGAGAAATACTATCGGCATCCTTCATCTTCCGCAACACCTCTGCTGCTATCAGTGATCATGGACATTTTCCTATGGCCATCCTGAAGTAGCCAGATATTGTATCAAGTAAAACCCGATATGGGGCAGACTGCTTTCCTTCTCAGAGAGGAAGGAAATTCAGAAAAAAGGAAAGAAAGGGATAACACACAAGGAATTACATCTGTCCCGCTGCAAATGCCAGCCTGCAGTATCATTTGTGATGGAGACAGCTTGGGACCTTGGACATTCTATGTAGTCACATCAGCTGTGCAGATTCTGTATGTTTCAGTGTATGAAAAACTCTCCTTATTTTTTATTTTTCATATGACTGAAGCAAATGTCCAGGCACTTCTCTAAGAGCAAGAAATACCTTGTCTTTTGCAAATGCTTCCTCTTCATCATTGCCATTTTTCCCTGGAACATCTTTTGCTGTTATCACATTAATCACTCCTGGCACCTGAAGGGCTTCTGAAATGTCAATTGATCTGGAAAGTAGAGCATGCACATAAATGAGTACAGTACACAGTACAAATATTTTTAGTGTGAACTAATTCCATGAACTTCAGGATAGAAACCTATTCCGTAGGTCTCATATTCTTACATATGAGAATATCTTTAGACAGAGAAGAGAAACTGGAAGTGTTGGTTAACACATTGAGAAAAATAAAACAAAAGCATGAGCAACTGTGTGTGCAGTACAAAAACACCTCTTTAAATTCTAGTCCCAGTACATTCAAAATCTAAGAACTCCCTACATTTTCTGTACTAAAAAGGATGAATGTGTTAACATGATCTCTTCTGTCCTTATCTGACAATACTTGAAGCGCATAGTAAGGACATTCTTTCTTATGCGTAATTGCATACCTCATTATATGGACAAATCAGATAATGTGAAGAGAGAATGTGCTTAACATACTTATATGGATATACTTTCTTTCTTACTTAATCTTTGCATGGGCTTAACTTTCTTACATGGATATACTTTCCTTCTTACTTACTTAATCTTTGCATGGGCTTTAACGCTAGTGACCACAGCCAATGAAAGTTCTCCATCCACTGGACGAATGTCATCAATGTAAACCGCTTCACCAGTGGTGTGCTTAATACCAGACTGGTGCATGATGGGACGTCCCACGGGGTCTTGTGGAGACTGTCCTGGGTCTACATCCTGCAAACAGGAATGTGTCTTCAAGTCAGAACAATAATTATAGAAAGCCTTACTCACACATTTTATCTGAGATCATTTTCTGATGATAAAATCCACATGGACACAATTTAGATTTTATGAAAATATTCTTGGGAAGTATTATGAAGGGCTAATTTGTGCTCCATTACCACCATGATGTTACTCGGATAGAGGTTGGAGAAATATATTGCACTAGATACCATTCACATCTCCAGTAAACATCAGTTTTCTGCAAAGACTGCAACAATTAAACAAGCAAAAAGCCAAATCCTAAAGAAGACACAATGACTTCTTCATACTGAGGATCCATGGCAGAAAAGATCCAAAACTTTCTGGATCTTAGCTAGCCTGTTTGCTGGGTCCATACTTTTCCTGACAGCATCCTTTGCAAGCCACACTTGCAGACTTCAGATCATGTTTCATGTTGTTTACTTCGGAAAAAACACATCTGAAATTCGGGATATATATATCTATATATACACACACATACATATATATGTAAAATCAGGAATTATTCTAAATCCTTCTTCCTCATCTTCCTACAGAGATAGGTAAATTTGTATTCTGCTGAGTGGTAACCAGACCAAGAAAAATGGTTTCATTCATGTTTCTGCTAATTAAATCTCCATCAAATCCTTCTAACACTTTAAAGTGCCTGGAGTTGACCTTCAGACACACCTAATGAAAGTACATCTTTGGTGCTCTCTGTTGTTGAGTTTTTGATAAGCTACAGTTCCTGATAAGGTCAGGGACAGTGAAAAACTTCCAACATTTGTGCTTTGTTTGCTTTTACTCAGAAAAGGATTCTTCTCCTTAAAAAAGTCAGTGTCTGAAAAGAACAAAAACAAAAGAATGTCTGAAGTTAAGGCCTTTTCTGGCAAACTGACACTAAGCAGCCAAAGATTGATTTTTAAAATTTCTCAGTTCTGCAATAAAACAAAGATGTGGGTGAAAATTCTTGATTTTTTTTACAATTAAATTTACATTCCCTGCTGAACAAAGTTTTTATTCCCTAGCTGCCTCTTCCCCTGATATTGTAGTTTTGCAAATAAACTTCTTAGGCTTGTACAATCAGAGAGATACTGCAGCAAGTGATTCCATTTATTTTTACTGAAATCCACTGAACAATGTAAATTCTCTGCTGAGCTCACACATAGCTGGAAGCTTTGCCTCTATTCCAGCTGTCGGGATATTCTGATGCTGCACAACACCTTGAGAACCAGGATTACATCTGTGCCCTGATAGACTACAAAATCTGTAAAACAAAAAGTTTCCCACAGGCTCAGCTGTTCCAGCAGCTTCATAGTACAATTAACAGAGACTTAGAAATAAAAACACAACAGAAGGGCACAACATTCATTAAAGCAGAGTCTGTGGCAGCCCCAGCTGCAAACAAACCTCACCTGATAGACTTGGACACCCTGGGGAACACCACTTTGTAGCACTCCCAAAGCACTCATCTTATCCTGTGAGAGTTCAGCATACCTGAAGGGATACTAAAAGGAAGATGATGTCAGAGTAGTATTGTCAGACCCTTATTTAAAAAAAAAAAAAAAAAAAGGTTTTCCCTTAATATATCTTAAAATACAACATAGCACCTTTACTCTCTCCTCTCTTATCCCCAAATATATAGAAAACCAGAAATTTCTTGCAGTCTGTCTGCTGATGCGGATATGCAGTTCTTGTCCTGTCCTTACCATCTGATGTAAGCCATGTAGCACTTCCAGGTAAAATCTGAATAAGAAGCTCACAAGCAGAGTTCTTCTATACTCTACTTTTCCACCTGAAGCTGATGGAGGAAGAGAAATTTCCTCCAGCACCAGTTTGCAAGCTTCACTCAGCATCTGATCATTCCACTGTCTGGTAGAAGAATAGGTTAGCATATACATACACTTTATTAAGACAGCTGAAACTACTGTGAAGTATGTGGGAAGTATTAAGTAAACAGCATAAGTTATATATCAAATAATAGCCGACTAGGGAGGGCTACTAAAAGAGACTGTGAGAAGCTGATGATGACAAAATCCAACAGGCCCCATGCATAACACCATACTTCCTGCTTTTTCCTTAAATACATTAGGACATCCACTACCTTCCAATGAGCTTCTCACAAGACTTTCTTGCACTGAGTGTGGTTGAGCCAATGCCTCCATATAAAATACTCAGATCTACAATTGTGTCTGTGCCTGGACTGAAGAGGACTCGCAATCCAGCATTCACTACGGAAAAAGCATTTTTCTGACGGTCAGCTTGTCTGAAGGCTGAAATAAACTCATCCTAATGGAATAAAAAACAATAGAAATGCCATAAATGGTAGAAATTAGTCTTGTTAAAATAAAGCAAATCTACAACTCCTTGTACTTTGATTATCACTGTCCAAAGAAAATATTATTTTTAACAAACGTTTTCTGGAATTACTGTTTCAGTTAATTTCTTAATTTTTCTTGAAGTACTAAGCCTAATCGTAGACAGACATACTAAGAGGGTACATTATTTGACATTGTCTGCAAGTAAGAAAACATGCCAAAGGTTTTTCAGTAGTTTGATGACTTCAGAGGACAGGAAAAGCTGTCCTGATATAAGCCACTTCATGTATGGATGGTGTGTTCTTTAAATCAAATCTCAGCTTAGAAAACAGTGGTTTCTCTTCCAGAACATGGAAATCCTACTGTGCCAAATAACCTGATTTTGTGAAGATTTTACACTCAGAGATTCTGTGTTTTATTCTAGCTACCACAGTGGCATTTACAGGGGGAGGCACTCAAAACAACGGCACTTTCTGTTGTCAGAAATCTCCTTTAGTTCTGGAGATGGTTAAACGTACTTTTAAAAACACATAATAGCAGATTCTTTCATGATCAGGCACAGAACTGATCCGTTTGTAAAGAAAATATTAAGTGCCCTTTTTCTCTAGCCCCAGAATAAAACGCTTAAAATTCAAAGCCACGGAGCCTGCTAGAGCTTATCAGGTTAGTTTCTCTCACTGTGTGTAACTGTAAAACTCAGGATTGTATGATCAACAGTGAGTTTTATCAGAAATGGAAAAACCCCTTACCAGGATTTAGATTTACTCACTTAAGCATCATTCAAATCAAGCTATGCAAAATCAAAACTAGGAACTGCCAGGAACAAGAGTGTGAACTGTCAGACAGATTCCTTCAGCTTTTGTTTCTGTACTTTCTGTTGGCTGTTTTTGCAAAAAAAGTTTCCATATGCATTTTTGTTATGTCAGCAGAATCAGTGGAAGAGATATTTCAACATTAAAACAAATGTCAGAAGCAATCACCCCAAAGAAATGGAGTTAATTTTGTGTGCTGAAGCTGCTGGATATCACACATTGTCCATGTGACTACTGACAGTTTTCCTCCTCTTTGAAGTGACCTTTTGAGTACACCAGTAGTGCTACTGTCTGGAATGTACTACTGTCTGGAATATGCTCCACAGCTGCTTTATTTCTCATATGATAATGCAGATGGGATTTCTCTCTTCTAATCTGTGGAGGGAACTAAACCTTTCCACTTCCATTTTCTCCTCCAACCTGTTTGTCCCTATAATTACCACTGAGGCTCAAAGTTTCTGGGCAGTACAAACACCGCTGCTGCTACCAGCACAGATTATCCTATTGCAGTTTTCTGCTTGTGGAATTTTTTTTTTTTCCTTGGGAAACCTGCCATGGCTGGCAGCCTCTAAAAGGTTGGAGCACTCTTCCACCATGAGGCCACATATGTTTACTATGTGGTGTTGCAATGGGCAACTATTCTGATGTCAGGGTTGGTAGTTACTCCTGTGGTTATTTTGTCGTTAACTTCAATCACAGAATACATGCTTGCAGTTCTGTCTCCTGCTTGTGTCATACTTCTTCTCACATCCACTAGAGGGATATCTAAGAACACAGTAACAATGACATCATTTCCTCCACCACTAACTTCCTAAAGCTGTGTGCTGACACCATTGCTCACAGCAGTTCGGGTTTTCTTATTAAGATTTTGCTTTAATTAATGGCTGCACTGAATGCTTCTATCATCCATTATTTAGACTGAAATGTAAAATGATTTTGGTCTTTTATCTGGTTCTATTTACCCATAAGACAGACATCACAAAACAGCAATCTGGAGAGAACATCAATGATCTTACCTTTGTAGAATATGGGATAAGAACAGAAACAATGACCTCCTTGGGCTCTATGTCTGCATGTTTATGGCCAGCAAGAAACTGGTCATTTAAAAAAATCTGTCGCTTGCCACCTGTCACAGAAAAATGTATTGAATGTGGATTAAGAACAAAGCATCCAAATTTTACTTAATCTGTACAAAAGCATACACTTGGCCAGATCATCTATATAGGTTGAATTATTTTCACTTGGAGAAAAAATAATTGCACAAACATGCAGCTGTGAAAACTAAATGAAGGTGCTCAAAGAAGTGCTGACATTTTCAGTGAGCATTGTTTTCAGCAGAAAATAATAGCTCCAAAGTGCTGCAATAGCCTTAAAGCATACAGAATTACAGAATCACAGAATTGCCAGGGTTGGAAGGGACCTCAAGGATCATGAATCTCCAACCCCCCTGCCACATGCAGGGCCACCAACCATTCCACCTAATGCTAGACCAGACTGCCCAGGGCTCCATCCAATCTGGCCTTGAACACCTCCAGGGATGGGGCATCCACAACCTCCCTGGGCAGCCTGTTCCAGTACCTCACCACTCTCTCCATAAACAATTTCCCCCTGACGTCCAACCTAAATCTCCCTTCCCTCAGCTTAAAACCATTTCCCCTTGTCCTGCTGT